TAAATAAATACGTTATTAATATCCACTGAATAAATATTTTTTATTAGAGGTTTTTTTCTCAGTGTGGGGACATAGAGAGGAAAATTATGGCTGTCACACATGTTTGACGCTGGTAGCGAACGCGTTATAAATATTACGTCCGAGTATTTTCTTTTTTTATATCCGAGCTACAGGCGAGAACAACAATCGCGACATTCGAGAAAGGACACTTGCCCGCCTCGCACTGCATCGGGACGCAATTCTCCGCATTAATCGGAACAATGGGACTTACCTAACCCGCGCGCGCGGATTTGAAGCCGTCCGATAGCCGGAACTCTCTCGAGGTCCACGTGGCCATCGTGGCTACGTTACATCCGCTCCAGAAGCGGCTTCTATTCCTGCACGAGACACCTCCGATCGATGGCAGCTCCGTGTAACTTTTTGCGCGAAAATCCACCGACGACCCGCGACACATGCGTGTCGCTCGCGGATCCGGTGACAATCTCCGTAATTAGATTATGTAATGTCACGACCTTCGACTCGTGAACCAGTTCGATCTCTTTCGCGTCGTACCTCGCCTTCGCGTACGGTCGAGCGAATCCGAGAAGTCGCGGGGGTAATTAAGTAAACGAGCCGACTTCGGGGAAAAGAAAGAAGTAGTGTGTGAGAAAGAGAGAGAGAGGGGGAGAGGGAAGGAGGGAGGGAGGAGACAGAAGGATCACACCGTTAATTAATCTGTCATACCAGACTTCTCGGTGAATTTCGAGTAAGACTATTAAGTGTGCTTCCGTTCTTCATCTCGTGATTATGACGCGCGAATAACAACGCGTTTATAATCCATTTTACACTGAGAAAAAAGGCTGATAATTGTTACTAAATGTATTTAGTTTCAGCATTCAAGTAAAATTTCGGTCTCTAATATCAAATATGATAATAATAACCAAATATATAGGAGATTTCATGTACAAAGGACTTTTCGGAAAAAGAATCGCAACAAAAATTGCAGAATTTTGTAAACTGTACTTTAAACTATACAAAAATTATGATTAAATTTACTATATGTTTGCTTACAAAATGTTGTGCCCGATTTTTTACTGCAAAATCGCAGTAAAATGGATTAAAGATTTTAGTAACAGCTAAATATTTAAGAAAGTTTTTATCAAGTATTTAATGGCTACTATCGGATATTTGATAAGTTATAAAATCATTCAATTCTTGATGAAATATTTTGTAATTATTAATATATATCTTGTTAAAACAACGAAATATATTTGATAACTATCAACTGTACTGATATTAATATATATCATCTATTGATATTCATCGCATATCGACTATTGTTGAGTTGTTTCCAATAATTGCTAATAAATATGGCATTGTCGCGTTCCTTGAAAGTTATAAGGAGATATTATAAGCGTGACTGCAAATATATCGTCATAGCTCGTAGGACTCACCAGTTTCTGTTCGATAATAAAGTAAAGTACCGGGTGAGTGAGTCTCTGAGAAAGGATGCGTGACCGCCATAAGATCGAATGAAACCACAAACGGAAGTTCACGTATGAAGCGATAAAAAGCGTCGATATGAAAAATAAGAAAATATAAATGTCTTAAAATAAATTGTATACTGAAGAAAAGATTTGGTTATTAAAGCCAAAATTTGGTTAAATCAATTTAAATTATCCTCAAAGTTTCTTAATCTTCAGACTTTGAAGTGAATAATATTTTCAAAATTTTAACTTTATAGTTTTATATATTTATTTTTACTTGTTAGTTGTTTGTTTAGTAAAAAAGAGTACTTTAGTATTTTTTATCTTAAAATTTTCTTGAATTTCTCTTTTTTTTTTTTTAATTTTATTTTTAATTAAATTTTAATTTAAATTTTAATTTTAATTAAATTTTATTTTTGTTTGATTTTGAAGAAGCGAATCGTTTTCGAGAAAAGCGCACTTGAACGGTGAAAAGTGATATAAAAGAACTCATTATACTATTCTAACACCCTTTGTTTACTATAAAGATAATACAAAAATCATCAAGATCTGCTAAGCAACATAATAATTAGATTACGTTAGGTAGAAAATTCTTTTCATATTCTATCTTCGGAGATAAGTATCTCAGCAGAAATGCGTTGTAGGAAAATATGTCGTAAGAACTCTTATGAGGTTATTTTTACATATCTTCGTAGGAGATTGTCCACTTTTACTGAAACATTCTGTATAAGAGGATTCCGTTAAAGTTAAGATAACATTTTTTGGCTATACTCACAAATAGGACTGTGCACACGTATACTAAAATATAAAAATATTCAAAAGTGTAATTAATATATAATATATAAAATGAAACACAAAGAAAGGAAAAGAAAAAAACTCTCTTTCTTTTTCTAGAAATACATAATAATTATATCAAAAGTAATTATGTCTAAGAAAGAAAAAGAGAGAGAGAGAGAGAGAGAAAGAAGGAGCGAGAAGATTTACCCCGTGTCCTTACTAGTTTTCCATTCTATAAATATAATCCGAGTTGAGGTAAAAAGCGGTTACATCGATCGCGTCGCGCGATGGTCTCTCTCTCTTAAAGCGGAGATCGCCTAACGCGCGCGCGACGCCTTGGCCCACAAGAGGAGACGACCTCATTTTTATTACAATTCAAACGCAATCTCCCCCCCCCCGTCATGCCCCTCGCCCTCTGCCGTCTGTCCTCCCAGAAGAAATGTCAGCCGATTGTGGACGAATCGAGCACAGGGAGAAATCACTCGTCGATATGAATATACTGTCGTTGCTCGGGTCGGCTCTGTCGGGAAACGCGACTGCCACCTTCGTGTCTGTCTGCGAGAGTGCCGATTGTGCGGAACTTGGCGATTTAATTGCACGTGCTCGACAATCGCGATCGCCCTCTTCGAGCGAGAAGAGAGCGCTCGGATTCTCAGAGCGTTGACTTGAGTCGCGCGGGAGATCGTGACGCCTGTCGTGTGTATATCTGTTTGTCTAGTTGTTATCGTAAGTCATTTAAAACGTTATCGCGTTTGATTGTTATATGCTGAGGAAAGAAAGTGGAAATTAGTGTTTCTGCCATTTAATCTTTCTGCCAGAAAGGTAGCATTGCCTTTTACTTATACTGAAAGCCTTAACCCTACAAAGATGATGATAATCTATGGTACGACTCAGGGATGAGTAAATTTTACTCATTCAAGTGATATTTCGCAAAAAAGAAGTGATGTTCATCTTTCAGTGGGCGATGAGATACATTACCGCTTGAGAGTTTCGAGCACTTTATAATTTGTGTATAAAATCATGTTTTTTTAATTAATATCATTATTTTATTGAGGGCAAGCTTAAATTATCCGGCGTTGCTCGGACTTCTTGTACCTGGAACATCTAAACTTAATCATCACAAAGCGTTAAGGGGATAAGATAAGGAAGGAGAGGTGAGATATTTAGATTTCACGTAACTTATATTTTCTGCAGGACTTATATTTTAGAGAGTAACTTAGAGGGGAAATTTGGTTGAAATCGGTCAAAGGGTTTAGAAGTTCGGTTTAGAAGAATAAGGCATATACAAAAAGACATTCTATTTTATGATTGTTAAAACTGAACTGAAGTTCAGTTATAAGTCAGGTTTAGTAATCAGATTGATGAAACAAATATTGATTGTCAAATTTTCGGAAGGATCTAGGTTGCCGCGAATGTATTTGTTCGGTCAAATCCGGCTGTGATCTCAAATCTGGATTTGGACATGATGCTTCGAATCTTCACAGATATCTCGGAAAATCTGAGTTCCCGGATAATCTGGAATTTGCAGTGTCACATTTATTCGCTATATCCGCGTAATCAGATATCTGAATAATGTTAGATCCGAGTAAACTTTGAAGCTTTAGTTTAAAGTTAGTTAAGAGGGTATTCTGGTTTAAAATGTCGCAAAAAGGTATTTTCCGGAATTTTTTAAACGGAAACGAAAAAATTGAATAATGTCAAACTTTGCATATTCTTTCAATTTTATTTTAAGAATATACTTTAATGTTTAAGTAAACAAAGGAGCTGTTCATTTGTATGTTATATCCTGGTCACTAGGAAATAAAACCGCATACGGACGGTGATTGTGATCTTCCAGATATCTGAAACGCAAAAATAAAATATTTTTTTATACAGAAAAAGTGTGACTATCATTTGAACTAGAACTCTAAACTAATATACTATTCTGTTATATTACTGATATATTATTATTCTGTACAAAAAGGTGACTTTTTATTACAAAAATTTAGTTTCGCGTCAGTGTCCTCTGTTAGTTCATTAAAAAAAGAAAATACTAATAAAAATAAAATAAAATATTAATAAAAATACTAATAAATGTGTGTGTATATAATTATCATTTGCATGGCACAGAATCTTAAAGCTCGCACGCATGCTCGCTCACTTTGTGTCCCTAATGAAATACTCAAATCCTCTGACCGTTAAAATTACTAGTCTACTCTGAAAGTATAGGGGAGGCAAAGTATATAAGAGGGGTAGTACATAAGCGTACACATCAGTCCGGTTTCAAAAATCACGAGGAGACGATAAAGACCCAACATACGCGTATAGGGGCAGAGAATTGGGGTCCGCATCCCCCTTTCAACACGCTAAGCAGAATAATTTTGTTTCTGGAGCAGTTCCTCTGGAGCAGTTCCGGTTGCTTTTGTTGAGTCACATTTTGCTTTAATTCCTCTTCTTCCCTTTTTATTTCGTGAAACAATGATTTAACAGAGATGTGTTGTTTTAACATGAAAAATTTTAACGTCAAGATTGATTGCAATAATGTCTTCTACATATGCTGAGCAGCAGATGGAGCTCGGACAATCGTAGAGAGAGAAGACGGGAGTTTTCTTCCTTTCCAATTCCCTTTCCGACTTTAGACACCAGCACTCCATTAACAGTATCACACGCAATCATTTGCAAATCTTTAACCAATAATTAAAAATTTTACGTGGTTATTCGTCAAGTAGTGGGGGGATTTTTTGTTTAGTTTTATCTAATCTATACATATAATTACAGGAAATGATTTGCTGTCAGACGACCTGCATATAAAACGTTTCAAGATTAATATGGGCGTGGTACGCCCAAGCGGCTTAATATTTACATAAATGGCGAAGCTTTAAAAAAATTTGCAAGAGCGCTTCGCAGCTAACCAGCGCCCTCTGATTCCGCTGAGCACGTTTGCCGTGCTGTGACAATAGAACCCTTCTTTGAAATCCCAGCAGTTCTTCTTTTATTTATACGCACTCGGACAGAGGCAGATGTTTCCTGACTGGTTCGTCGGATGAAAGACGGTTGAACAGAGACTCGTGTACGTTAGTTTCTTCGTGGCCTTCGACGAATGTACAATGTCAAACAATCCAGCTCCCAGTGAAAATAAAAAATCCTCGCGACATAAATATAAATGGACTAGATATTATAGGAGGAAATACCCTAAATTTAGGGGTGTTCAGTTTCAAAAATTGTGTGACAAGGGATCTCATTCTACATCATCGAAGAGAATAAAATTGGACGACGACGGAGACATCGAATTCGATGAGACGCGCGGCTATCGATTTGTAGATTTTATTAACGTTTTCTCGGCGCTGTCACAATTTTTAATTTGTAAAGACTGTCAGAAAGATGTGAAGTTCGAAGAAAGAACTATGAAGGGACTTGGATTCCAGTTGGTGGTAATTTGTGAGTGTACGTCGAGGTTCGTTAACTCGTGTCCGATAGTAAACAATACTTACGAAATCAATCGAAGGTTTGTATTCGTGATGCGGCTGTTAGGCGTTGGTAAACACGGAATTAATCTTTTTTGCGGGTTCATGGATCTATGTCAAAGATTTTCAACGACTATATATTGTTCGTCGTTGTATCATATAGAAAATGCGTCGAAATATGTGTACGAGGAAGTTTTGAAGAAAGCTGTCGAGGAAGAGAAGAAATTGACTGCAGAAAAGTACGGGACGGAAAATGCTACGAGACTGACGGTATCTGGCGATGATACATGCAAGAAACGAGGGTTTTCATTTCGCTTTAGCATGACTACTCTTATCGGCAACTTATCTAATAAAGTCATTGATCTTGTGCTCAAGTCGAGCTTTTGCCAGTCTTGCAATGATCACAAAAGTAAGAAAGGAACTCAGGAGTACAATATTTGGTATGACAGCCACGAAGAAGAGTGCGCGAATAATTGTAAAGGAAATAGACGGATGAAGATCGATGCCTTGAAAGAAATGTTTGGACGATCAGTCGAGCAGCATGGGATTAAGTACGTTTCATACATCGGCGATGATGAAGGATACAAAGCGATCGTTGAGTTCAATCCTTACGGCGACGATGAGCTCGTGATAAAGAAAGAATGTGTCGTATACTTACAAAAGGTAATGGCTGTAAAATTACGCAAAATCAAAAAGAACAAGAACCTCAGTGGCGAAGGAGTCGGTAAGCTTACAGATGACGTTATCAAAGAACTTATAATGTATTATAATTTAGCCGTTCGGAGGAATACCGATTCTTTGGAGAATATGAAGAGAGCTATTTGGGCCAGATTTTATCACCGAAGTTCCACCAATGAGAGGCCACATCATGAATTTTGTCCCAAAGGTCTTGACAGTTGGTGTAAATGGCGTCATGCTGAGGCAAATGGCACTACAGCCGAATTTTACCACGAACCTCCTTTGGACAAGAACGTATTGAGAGCAATCAAGCCAGTTTACGAGAGCTTATCAGCTTCATCTCTGTTGGAACGTTGTTTAGGAGATTTTAATCAGCACAGTAATAAAAGTTTCAACTCAACGTTCTGGAAGATAGCGCCGAAGGACTTGTACTCGGAGCCACAAATTATCACTATCGCGTCTTATCTGGCCACGATTGTTTTCAATGAAGGATGTTTCCCTTTAGTGACGGTCCTCAAACTTATGGGGGTGAAAGTTGGTCTATATGCGAAAGTTTGTTGTGAATATAGTAATGGAGAACGCATTGAAGCTGCAGGGAGTTCATCGGCCACGTGCGAAGAAAATTTATCCGACAGACAATTGCAATCCGCCGAGAAAGACGAGGATTTGGAGGAATCATTACATGGTTCTGAGACATCTGATTAGGATCAGGTGAGAACGTGCCACTTCTTTGTACACTAACTTGAATTGAAACTTAAGTATATTTTTCTCAAAAGCATGCTTTTTAACAATAGTTAACTAGTCATGCTTTAACTCAAAGGAATTACATTTTAAACGTTTCTTCATCGTATGAGAGTGATTTTCGATTGGTAAATTTGTTTTCAAGTTGCTGAAAGTTGAAAAAATTCTCTGCTACTTTGTTAATTTTTCGAAAGTCAAAGAAAGCTTTCATACGTTGATAGATAATGATATTATAACATATTTTTTTCTGCTTGCTTTCAGATAAAAATTACGACCTGCAGCATTGGCGTCATGCTTAAAACTTTCAATTGTCGATAAAATTGCTTTTTTTTCTTTCGATGCACTTACATACAACTTTTCTTAATATTTAACGTAAAGAACTCCGAAATATAATGAAAAATTATCTTTATATTATTAAATTTAAGATCATTAGATTTAAAATTATTTATTGGAGATTATTATTTTATTCTTTTCTGAGGAGAGATTATTATTAAGATTATTAAACTAAATTAAGATTTAGATTATTTTGAGTAATTATTTAACTAAAGACTTTTGGCCGGCCGTATTCATCTTTAGCTACGCGTTTTCTATGATCGATCGAAGAAGCGAGAACGTGTTCAAAGCAGAAGTGACATTTTGACAGATTGACGTGTCGTACGTATCGATAAAGAAGGTTATCTTGCTCATATAGCATATAATGTAGAGGGACAGTAAAAAGTTAAGAGATAGGTAAATAAGAGATTATTATATAACATTAAGAGATTGGTTAAGAGATAGGTAAATAAGAGATTATTATATAACATTTGTTTAAATAATTAATCAAATAAAAAAGCATATATATGCATGCTATCGTAATTAATCCTTTTTATTGACACGTACAGTACGTCGATTTGTCAAAATGTCACTTCTGCTTTGAACATACTCTCGCTTCTCCGATTGATCAACAGTCATGGACAACGCGTAGCTAGAAACGAATGCAGCCGGCCGTCGATGCTACAGCATTCATGAGGCTGACTGCACACCAGACTCCATTAATGCAGTCCCATTTTGAAAAATCGAGATAACGAATCATCCGGGCGCAACAAATCTAAATATTCGTGCATCATGACTATGGATCACTCGAGGGATCAGCAACGCTGCTCCAAAACAGCGATCTGTCACTATGTAGAAAATCACCGCCGGTATCTATGCTAAGGATAATTTTATACAAATATTATTTCTAAACACAGAATGCTAATTTCGGTATTTACGTCATGATGGCCGTCTCCTGTTGCTCCTCTGCCTCCATTTTATCATTTATATCATTTCGTGAAATATTTACTAAACTAGGCTACCAATCCGCTGCTCATTCATATTTCGCGTTACACAGATTAATGTAAAGCTGTCAAATTGAAATATAGTGACAGATCGCTGCTTTAGTATATTTGTATGTACATTCGAACAATCAATATTATAATATCAATATTATTAATATATTATAATATCAATATTATTAATATTATCACAATGCTATAAGGAATTTGGCACAAATATAAAAGTACAACAAATATTTAGGTCATGTTTTTTTATTTTGACCCACTTTGAGTTTCACGGGCAGTTTATAGCTTTTTAATGTTCTCATTTCTATGTCTAAATGCAACAAAAATGCATGAGAAATAAAATTGAATACAAGATATAGACGTTGGTTTGCAAATTATGAATATGAAGTCAAATGTATAAAATTATTTGTATAAATAATAAAATGTTTAAACAAAACGTGTAAAAAGTTGGAAAAAATTATTTATACAGATAATTTCTCGGTTTAGCTAAGATTCGAACCATTTTTGACTAATTTAGCACAGATTTGAAATATTTCGGTTGCAATCTCGGCTAAAGAAATTCAGAATGGTTCGTGTCTTAGCTATATCGATTTTGTTAAAATTATTTAACTATATTTTGTATTCAATTTTACTAAACTAGGTTACTAATCAGCTGCTCATTCATATTTCACGTTACACAGATTAATGTAAAGCTGTCAAATCGACATATAGTGACAGATCGCTGCTTTGGTACATTTGTATGTACATTCGAACAATCAATATTGTTACAATGCTATAGAGAAAGGTTAGGTTAGGCTTCTAGCGGGATGGAGGGCAAAGCTCCCTCAACCAAAAATGTACCTTTCACACTTGCTAAATTTACACGGTTCTTTTGTTAATAACTTTTTAATAAACAGTTAAAATTTTTTGAATGTTATTCAGAAACATATCTTTGATAACGTATGTCAAGTTAAGGTCAGGAACTGACTATTCTATACTAAATAATTATTTAAGTTTTTATGTTTGGTAGCTTGTTGCATGGTAATTCCCTTGAAAATCACTTGTCAGAACTATACCAACCTATTTTACGTAAAATGTTACCTCAAGACCTATCTAAACGTGGATCGCTGATGACCCACGTTGCAGTGTTATCACATATATGTTAAACAAACAACGTGTTAAAAAACACGTGTTTCGTAATACTTATACGGCCATTTTGCAACAACGTCTCACTTTAGGAAGAAAATATCAAACGGCCCGAACGGGAAGTTCTGCATGGGCCACACCGGTGACTCACGTGGTACGGCACGGTATGTATCGAGGAAAATCCTTGGCTCTCACACTCGCGAAAGTACATGGTTCATAAGCGCGGCGTTTCCGCGAAGAAGCGATCGACACGGAAGAAGGACGCCCCGTGTGTGTACCACATCGGATTCGTTTCAGAGCTGTATAAAACCGGAGTCAAGCCGAGTTGCGCATATTACTGCACCCCAGATGCACCCCGAGAACAGACGACTTCGTCGCATCGTGAGAATCGTGCGAAGTACGCGCGATATATTCGCCGCGGCCGCGTATAGAAGCGCGTCCCTTACGCGGTCTCTGTTCTAACGGTCTTCTGCCTTGACCGAGTTGAGCGAGGTCCGTGTCAGATCCCCGTGTCTTGACTTTGACTCCGTTTTATCGTAAAAGTCATTTCTACGATCAATTACCCGACCGTGAAGAGCCAAGCCAGCCGCGCCGCGAGGAGGAGAGTCTTTCGCGCGCTCGCGCGCACGTCGACACGGATTTGCATTTGCGGATTTACATTTGCGCGCTCGCATCGCGGAACCGCGCGCGCGTGCGAACTTGTAACGCTGTATCGATCGTTTGTTTATCGAGCTGCCTTTTCCGTACAGACGGCCCGCGGACGGGAAGCTCGCTTGCGGCTCTTTACTGCTGACGAAGAGAGACGCGTTATCGTCTCCCTCTCTCGTTCCTTTCCTCCCTGCTTCTCTCTCCTTCTCTCTCTCTCTCTCTCTCTCTCTCTCTCTCTCTCTCTCTCGCACTCTCGCACTCTTGCTCTCTCGATCTTTTGGAGCGACTCCAATTCGCTCAGCGAACGATTCGTCGGTGCGGCGCTTCGTCTCGCCTACTCTCGGCGATGCCGTGTTCCTGAATCGTTAATGCTTTAACCTTTCGCGATGTAGGAGTTTCGAGATGTAGGAGTTTCCAGGAGTGAATCGCGGCGTCGAGCGGTTCAACTCGAGACTCGTGTTATTATTTTCAATTCATATACCTACACCCGCGCAAAAAGTCTCCGGCCCGTCTAAGAATACGAGGATCGCGAGATGGGGGAAGATGGAAGGCCGCTATTTATAGCGCGAATCGCGCGAGTCAGCTCTCCGCTGATATTTTATTCATTTATATTTAAATTTGCTTCCCGCTATGTCAGAAAGAGAGAAAGAAAGAGAGATTATTCTGGAATTTTGAAGGAATAGAGTAATAACGAGCATCTCGGAAGTGGGTAAACTCGGGCTTCGTCCGCTTGCTATGGCCTGGAATAACAAACGACTCCCGTCATTCGGTATTTATTATTCCGCCGTTGTAACGTTACGAGTCTTCGAGATAGGGAACGAGTAAGTGAGAGAACGAGAGCGCGCGCGCGCGAGAAAGAGAGAGAGAGAAAAGGAGAAGAAATACAAAAAAAATTATCCACTAATTATTCAATATTTACTCAAAACAATGTATCACATAGAATGTGATGTGAAAAATTCAAGTGCAATTTTGAGCGAATTTGTCGATGCATCAGTTTGTAACAAAATATTTATACTATTGCATGATATAAATTTAATGATTAATTAAATGCAGTATGTTTGTCACATAAATATAATTAAAAACAGATTTTTCATCATCGATTTTCATTAAAGTAACGGTACTAGGCTTCGAGAAAGGGACCGAGCGAGCGAGCTAGAGAGAGAGAGAGAGAGAGAGAGAGAGAGAGAGAGTGCACAGGAGAAAGAGAGATATAGTCCGCGAATTATGGCGCGCTGCCATTGTCGCGTTCCAGGCGTTAAATGCGACCTCATCTCCGGGGCTTTCTCGGGGAAAAGCCGTGACGGCGTAGCGGACGAGGAAGAAGAGCGCGAACGTTCGAGGTCGAGGTGCGAGAGCTGGCCGCGTGTTTCGCGGTTGTTTCCTTAATAGAAAAGAAATCACGTGTTTGCGCTTGCCCACTCTGCTCCCTCTGCACCGCGCGCTACTCTTGCACCAGGAAAATACAGATACAGATGCCTCTTCGAGGCGCCGCACGTGAGAACAATGAGTGGCATAAAGAGGAAGAAAGAGAGACAAATAGACAGACAGATAGACAGACAGACAGAGAGAGAGAGAGAGAGAGAGAGAGAGAGAGAGAGAGAGAGAGGGGGGAGAAAGAAAAAGCCACGCAACCTCGCAGAAATGCATAAGCGACCTGCATAATAGTAGCGCGACAGCATTCGTTGCAACTTTGTCTCGCTCACGGCGAGATCTCTCTTTAACCACTTCACTTGACATTTAGTCGTCGGCGGCTGCGGTGAGCGTGCGCGCGTTTTATGAGCCTCCATTTAAACGGATAACTCGTCGGTCCGTAACGAATCATCGGTGTTAACGTAAGCGCTAATGTATTGTCGCGATAAAATAATATAATAACCGAAA